GCTTAAATCCTTTTATCACTGGTGTGGATATGGAGAAATTGGATAGGAGGCATTTCCCACCAAAGATGTACAGGCTAAAAGAACAGACCAGATGCAAGTCTGTGGCATTTAAACCAGTGCTAATGGTCTGATCAGGAGTGCCATCTCTCTGGAGCACAAGATATTTCTCAGACTCTGAAGGTCATGCTATTTAATGGAAGATAGGAACTGATACATTTAGCCAATCCCCAGTTTAACTGGGATACGGTCCAGGATTTGGCATGTATTACAAAGAACTGGTAAGAAGATACAGCTGGACATTGTAAATTCAACAGCTTCCAGATGTACATACTGGGCAGCAAAAGCCACTGGATGAGTGGAGAGAGTCAGCATGCCAGTTGCCATCTGATCCTACATTTTGTTCATCCACTCCAAAATTAATTTGCCTGAGCACATATGCCTTATGTGCAAGTCTGGGCCAGAGTCAAAACAGGAATTGTGATAGTGCAAAAGCCACTCAACTGTACATCACATTTTCTCTTAAGGGAACAGTGGTCCAAAATAGGGGGTGGAAGAACCCTGGCTTATTTTGTTCTGCATGGTGCCAACTTTTAAGTGCTGAACCTTCACAATACATACTATTGTATGGCCACCATGGCAAGTACAGAATTAGCCTATGTGGTTTCTGGCTCAATTCTTATATATGGCTACACTCTGGATCTTATTTGATATTGCAATCAGTTGCTACATATGAGGTCACTGTAGTCTGATCAGAACTGAATTTTGCTCTTTTTTGGCTTCTTCCATTCTCTTTGGAGATTAAGGAATTACTTGGAGCTCAAATCTCTCTGAGGAAAAATACTATTGACCTGCAAGAGTACAAAACAGAGAGAAAATGGGTATAAGTTAACAAGCAAGAAACCCATCATCAAGAGGGAGGGGAACATGCAAACAGAATTCTCTTTATTGCAATAAATTGGTAAAATATGTTTTTTAAAACTTGTATTACTTTTGTCTTCCTTCACATGGCACTATTTTTAAAACTGTTAAATAGGTTTTTTTAAGTTATTGTGAAACATATCGATTTAAATGCAGAGAGCCAAACCAGAACTGCCTGAGGATACCTTCAAGTATCATATCATCATAAAAATTAAGGATGGAACTCATCTCAATCCATCCTGTTGCCAATGAAGAATATAGTATATTTACAAGTCCTTAATGCCTTGGCCTTGTGCCTCACATTCATTGGAGGCATATTTTTGAGCCAATAAAACATCTCATCATAGCTTAATGCTATTAGAATTAATTTATACCTCATCACTAATTATTTCCTCTCTTAAAACGCTGATCTTTGAATAGCAGTGAATAATTCTTAGAAATCACTGTAGTTAAGAGTCAGAAAAATCCTCTATCATTTCCTGTAGCTCCTTGTCAATCAAGGGCTGATGTGAAACTATTTATTATGGAGTATTTTGTTGACTTTGATGACACCCATCTCAAATACTGGGGCATTGAACAATTCCTTCCAGCCCAAAGGAACTTGATTTAAGTCTGAATGAGACAAGACACTATCGTTAATATAGTTTACCATTTCCATTACTCCTAGTTGTGCACTCTCAAACCACTGCATACTGTTCCTCATCCTATATTCTGTTCATAGAGGGTTAAAACTGCCTCTATTTGATCCTGTTAAATATGGTAAGGGGAAGTTTTGCAGAGGAAGGGAATTCCTACCTGAAGTCAGCAGGTTCACAGCTTCACTCTAAACCTTTTAATGTCTCTGACCTTCTGTGTGTCTCTCTCACACACACAGACACTCTCACACTGCCTTGGCATAAAAGTGTTTTTATGATTTATGTTCAAAGGTCACCTATTTCAACCCTTTTCATATTAATTCATAGTTTCTAGCTTCTTTTCATGTCATCTGTATGTGCAAAATCCTGAACATGCAAGGCGACAGACTATTTGAAGTTATGTAAATTTTTATTTTAACATAGCACCCCATTTTACATCATGTACATTTTCCAAAATTGGATGTGCAGTAGAGAATATTCTATCTTGTAGTCTACCACACTCACATTTTTTGCAGCTGTGAAAATAAGTCTGCTTGAATATGGAGAAATACTACACTGTAATAAGTTAAAATACAAATATAGAGTAACCTCAGTACTTTTTTTAAATTTTAGATCAACAACAAGGTCCCAACACCATATTGTATATCAAATGGTCAATAGCAGAATAAGATGCATTATATATTTTATAGTATATTATTGTGAAGATAATTAAACAAAGAACAACATCAAAATATATAATTTCTTCTCAAATTCATTACATCATTTGGAGTATTCATGTCCTGAAAAAATAAGTTCTCACTTTAGTTGATAAAACATGTGGATCCATTATCCCTCTTTCCCATCCTGACTTTTATAACAGTAGATACTTCTTGCAATCTAAGGTGTGCCTATGCTAAAGGCTAAATAACAGGCCAAGCTAGAGAAGTGATAACACTCCCCCTTCACCTCAGAAGTAGGGTAGATTAGCTACTAAGACTCAACTGAGTCCAGTACCTAAGCCCAGTAAGCCTGCTTGTTCTGGGCTAAGGTGGGGCGTATCTACACTGTCCTGCATCAGGAGTTAAACTCAGTTTCTACAATAGGAAAGGCTTATTTCCATATTACATCCATTTTAAAGCTTCTTGTACAGAGTTCCAAATCCTACACACACCACAGGGAGAGTTTTGTAATGCAAGCCATTATCTTCCAGTAATGTTTAGGTAGCACACTTTTAATGCTGAGAAGACAGCTGTACCAGTTCCTCTCACTGAAGTGGTAGGAGAGTTCACAGCATTACAACCAGCATGTACAAATATGTTTGGATATAGCATTTCAAGTTAAAACTGACATTTCAGGGGCTACTCTGAATTTGGTCATACTGAATTTGCCAAAGACTGAAATTCTATGTTACAACAGCAAAAATCTCCCTCTCGAAGGAGATCATAACAGTTTCCATTGTGCCCTAATGCTAATACTAATTTAAGAAACAGGGGACTTTAATCTTTATGGTCAAATGTCATAGGCACATTGTCCTAGGATGTCCTTCCCCTGAATGGAAACCTGTTTTCTCCACCTGCTATTATGCTGTTACTTTAGGCACTGGAATAAAAAGTGGCCTAATCTTCAAAAGGGATGTGCTACCAGTAGTTGCAAATGTTTTGATGCTAGCTCAGTAAATTGCTGTTTGTTCAAACTAAAACTTTTCACAGCAATGTATCGGTTTTGACTATATTTTATGAGGTTCAGGATGGAATATCTTGTCTAAATGAGCACCAGGGCACAAAACAAATTCTTTCCCTTCCCTCAAACAGCCAATTATCCAGTAGTAAAGGCATTCTCTGAGATGTGGGAGAGTCAAGTTCCATGGCCTCTTCCACATGATTCTCTCTGGCCCAGTGACTATTTATTTTTACACATCTGCTCCAATTAGTGAAATCTAGAGATGGACACTACAGACTCGTGATGAGAGTATGCACCTGGGATACGGGAGAGTCAGGTTTAAATCCCTGTTCTGAACCAGTGTCTCTCAACTTCTTCCAGTGCAGTTTTTTCATTTTGCTTAAATATTATTGGATAAGAGAAAGACAGCATTTGAGAGAGAACAGTTCTGTAGTCTGGCTGTTAGGGTACTCATCTGGGACAACCGGATTCTAGCAGCTGCTCCAGATCAGAACAGGGATTTGAAATTGGCTTTTCCCCATCCTAACTCACTGACATGGGACTATTGGCTATTCTGGGGTTAGTGTCTCCTATTTTAGCCAAAATTCCCTCCTGGACTTGAGCAATCTTCCCAAAATAAGTTTAATCAAAATAGATCTTCCCAGAAAAAGTTTCCATCTCAAGAAATCAACATTTTCTGACAGGAAAGACCAAAAAAGCTTCCAACCAGCTCTACTTAGGAGTATAAGTCTTACTGAATGGAACGTAGACAGTTTTGATTTTTTTTTCCAGGAGTCTCATAGACGATTAATGGAGATTAAGATGAATTTGTGATTTTAACTTCCTTTTCTCACTGCCCAGAACAACTTCTTAACTCAAACTGTGGCGCATTAACACAAAGCAACTCAGAAATCACAAAAGGTGGTTATTTGTTGTAGATGCAAACAAAAGTCAGTGAGCTGGGGAGTGATGTATTACAAAAACACACACTTTCTCAGTTAACCTTATTCTTCAAATGCCTGCTCCTCCCTACCTTTGGAATAAAGTTTTATCAACTCTTGATCTATATAAATTTCAGCCAAAGCAGTCCATTTAGTCACCATGCCAACCTTAAACATTTACATTGATGTCATTCTTATTTTACATTCTGATAAAGCTTTTGGTTGTTCTCATATCCCACTACAGCTTTTTCACATTTATCCATTTCACACTATATCCTGACAGAAGACTGGCTAGTTATTTCTAACCTGCCTCCCCGGGGCCAACCCATAGCTAGATGGATAAAGTATCACAAATTATGAAAGAAAATCAATGCACAGCTTTTGCAAACTCAATGCATATACTATACTTCATTTATGGCATTGAACAGAAGGATGTGAAATGCACTAAATATAAGACTGAGTGGGGAAGGAGACAGAAACATGCATGCAATAGTCTCTTGTAAGAAAGCATACATCAAGCCTATGAAGAAAGTCAGGATGATTTTCTAACTTCAAAAATTATATGTAATAAGAGAACTGGTCCAAGAAATAAAGAATAGTTAGAAAGCTCCTGTTGCCAGAAAGGCTTATAGAGAATTTAGTCCAATAAAAACTGAAGTGTATGGAAAGACTTCCATAGACTTCAAATATCTGAGTCCAATCCAGGACCAAAGCACTGGGACCTTTAGCTCTCTATCTGGGGATGGAAATGGGCTAAGAAGCTTTGATCATTACAGGAGCATCTCCTATGGCAGCCCCGTGTAAGATACATTTATTTGTTTAAAATCATTAAAAAAAAACAAAAAACAAAAAACAAAAAAAACTTACCTACAGCATACACATAATTTTATTTACCCTGGAAACATGTCTAGTTTGGGTTCTTAACAAAATGCAATGTAGGCCAATGCAAACAAACATGAGAAAATCTCTAATATATAGTTTGTTTTAACTTCCATTGATAAAGTTACGATGTTGGTTTAGAAACATCCCCTCCTCTACCAACACATACACCCCACACCCACACACCCCTGCTCATTTTGAACCTTTCCTGCTGCCTAGAGCTCAGAAATGAAGGGTTTTTTACATTTCCAAAATCAACAAGTCTCAACAGTTTTTACTTCTTGAAAGTGCCCTTTACATGCTTTTTAACTTACAAAATACAAATGCTATAACATTAATAAACATTAAAAAATGAATCTTAAATGGCACTACAAAAGATAATTATCTGATGTGATTGTGGTTATGGACTCCATATGTATAATCTTTTTCATTCTCTCATGTTTTACCAGCATAGACAATCTGCCAGGATATAAACCTCTTTGAATCAGAGACATCCAAGAAACCATTTCAGAAAATGAGCTTTGAATATAAACAAGAGTTCTGAAAGCATGTAACCATGAATCATTTTTTCCCCAGGAATGCATATAAATCAGGAATTCTTTAAATAAATACAATACTGATCATTTCAGAGTTTAGACAATTTGGTGGTAATGTGCATTCTGTAACATCTGGAAGGAATCCATGGGGCGAAAAGGACCAGTGGGGAAAAAACTTCCACTTTTTAGACATTCCCTACTGTATGACATTCATTTCGTGTACCGCCTTCATTTGTGAAGAAAAACGTGCATAGTTATAGGCAAAAGAAACCCAATGTTTTATTTTCCTCTCAGCCATTGCCTAACTGAAAACTTTACACAAATAATAAAGTCAGAAGATTCTTGGCATGAAGACTCAGTTATCACCACTGAATAAAGTGCTGAAGGTCATAAAACTGTTACAGGACGAAGCTGCTCCAGCTGAGTTTCCAGTGCTATTCGTTCCTTGTGAACTTCCTGGAGCATGGGAAAGAAGAGAAATGTTGTAATTTTTGCAACACCCACATATACAATCCTGAAATATTAAAAAGTAGTTTGGTAAGCTGGTCACATGTAGTAGCGATCTCAAATTTATACCACTTACATACTGTTTCATGTGGTTTCAAAGCAGTGCATGAACAACAGATAATGAGGCCCCACAACGGCCAAATGATGGAAATAGAATTATTCCATTTTTTAAGAGAGGCAAGCTGGAACAGAGGTCAAGTGACTTGTTCAAGGTGACCAGGAATTGGGAGGATGGGCCAGTGGTCAGGGATTTAATAATGCTGAAAGAAATCTGGGTTTTGTTCTGCTGTTCCTGGGAAATCTTATTTCAAAATTTGATTTCACTCCAATTTGGAACAAATCCAAGTTTCTCAAAATTTCCTGCAAAAAGGAAATGACAGAAAAAATATTTAATTACAGAAATCACCGCTATAGGGTGTTTACAAAGCAACAAGTGTCTGAGGGCCAGAACAAGAGGAAGCTGCAGCAAAACTGATGGGCATATGAATTTCTGCCGGCAGCTGCTTGGGCTTATAGAGTTTCCCCAGCATAAAAATTGCTTTGGGGCTAAGGATTGTGTGGTCCCTAGACTCCCAAGGCCCAGCTGGCTCCCACACCCTCATTTGGAAACTGGGTGACATGGGAAGCAATCTTGCTCAAGTGAAGTATGGATCCTTGCCTGACTAACAGGGCTGCTCCAAATACACTACGAAGAATGCCCATGCTCTGCAGCATTCCAATAGCAAACCTGGAGATCTCCACTGGAAATCTGCCTGTGATTTGATGAAAGCTCATTGAACATTTCAGATTCCCTGAACAGGAAAAGTCCTGCTCTCTGAAAATGTTCAACCACTTCTAGGACCTGGGAGACACGGGTTCAAGTCCATTCTCCATCACAGATGTCTTGTGTAACCCTGGGCAAGTTGCTTATTTCCTCTTTGCCTCAGTTCCCCACCTGTTAAGTGGGCATAGCCCTACTTGTGTAAATAACGCCATTACACATTGTGAAGTGTTTAGATATCATAGCAACATGGTCCCCTTCCCCAGCCTCCCCTCCCCTGCCCCTAGTACTTACCAGCTCCCTGCTGCAGTCACCAGAGACTGCCCAAATTTATAAAGCTCTCTGAATCTTTTGCAAAGATTTGGAGAGCTTTCATAGAATCATAGAAGTAGGGTCAGAAGGGACCTTGTAGATCTTCAAGTCCGACCCCCCGCCTGGGCGGGAGAAAAGACTGGACTAAAATGAGTCCAGCCAGGTAGTCATCAAGCTTCTTCTTAAAGATCCCCAGGGTAGGAGCCAGCACCACTTCCCTAGGAAGTTGGTTCCAGCTCCTAGCTGCCCTAACTGTGAAGTAGTTCTTGCGGATGTCTAATCTAAACCTACTCTCCAATAATTTGTGTCCATTGTTCCTTGTCATGCCAGGGGGGCGCTAGGGGAAACAGTGTCTCCCCTAAACCCTTCTGGTCCCCCCTAGTGAGTTTATAGACAGTCACCAGGTCCCCCCTTAGCCTTTTCTTGTGAAGGCTGAACAGGTTTAGGTCCTGCAGTCTTTCAACGTAGGGTCTGCCCTGTAGTCCCCAGATCATGTGGGTGGCCCTCCTCTGGACCCTTTCAATGTTGTCCACATCCCTCCTGAAATGGGGCGCACAGAACTGGATGCAGTACTCCAGCTGTGGTCTGACCAGCATCGCATAGAGAGGGAGGATCACCCAGCTTTGAATTGATATGGACCTTTAAATTGGTCCTTTGATTCAATTTGGATTCAGAGATGAGGCCACCAAATCGGGCCGAATCTCTTCCAAATCGAATCACCAACTGAGTCTTCACATAGCTCTAGTGAAAATTGCAGGCATGGTAGCCCCTGCTGAGGCCATGAAGCCTGCCAGCTTTCAAGGAGATAGGTTCAGGGGTTTCTAGGAAACTGCACCTCAAGCTGCTGACGAGCAAAACTCGTAACGTGTAACTGTGTGCGTGTATTAAGGTGTGCCCTCACTGGCGCTGGGGCCTCTATACAACATGGCAGTGTGCTCCAATGAGGTCTCCTCCTCCCCTACAGCCTCAGTCTGGTCCACCACTTTAAATAACAACAGGTAACTTAGCAAGCAGCACAGCAGCATCTCAGGCAGCCAAACTGTCAGAGTCAATATGAGAGCAGTCCTTCCCCCTTCTTTCCCCACACTTGCCTTACTTTTGGTTTCCCTGCAGGCAAGCCCTGCTCCAGCTTTGAACCTAAAAACATTTCAAAACTTTGAAAGGTTTTGACTGCACTCATTTTGTTTTGATGTTGCCGTTTTGAGCTTGAAACAAGTCGAAACAGCATTAAAACAAAATAGCCAGTGAAATTTTGCACAGCTCTGCTGTGTACCACCTCTGTCCACCAGGATCAGGCTCTGGGTACCATCTCTACCTGGCCCTACATACCAGAACCAGGCTCCAAGACCCCACGCCATGTCCCCCATATGCCAGGATCAGACCCAGCACCACCCTGCATGTCCAATCCAACTTCCCATGATCCTGTGGAGAGCCCCACAGGCCAGAATATATGGCATCAGGGGCTGGATCTTGCCCACAGGCTGGGAGTTGAGCACCCCTGTGCTACATAATTCAGAAGTGGTAGATTTGATAAGCTCCTCTACACAGTCATACTTTAGTCCTGATGGAAAGGTGGTGGTGTGACATGGGATGCTGAATGGGGTGGGCTGAGTCATAAAAAGTGGAAATGCACAGAACAGGAATATCTAAGGATTCTGGCAGGGATGCAGAAAGCTACAGAAAAGATTAAAGTGTATGCAGGTCAACTCAGTGACAACTCACTGCAATACAAGGTGGGATAGCAAGGTTCGATTTCTGGTCATTTATAGTCTTATATTTCTAAGCCATTAGAATGTATTGAGGAGTTACACATTCAACACCTTACTGAGAAAGGTCACATGTTTGCTGAGTGGGGTTGATGGTTTCTGAAGGGTCCTGATGCATTTAGTCTTCCTTGCATTTAAAAATATGATGAAGCATGTAAGCAATACTAAGCTGCAGCTGGAGGAAACCCAAGGATTTTACTGAGTTCATCATCATATAAAGTACATACAATAATACATTCAATCTATGAAAATGCAAAAAAGTACATTAGAAAGTTACCAATTTAAATACTCCAGAAAGTTTCCAAATACAAGTCAAGTAGACAGTGTTAAAAAGATTCATCTAAGGTGCTGTCTAGCCAGTGATTTGTGTATTGAACAACTGAACTCTGAAGACAACTAAAGAACACATTTCATCAAAAGAAAGCATGGGTTCCTGTCCTGCATGAGGAGACAGCATTCAATTATCTAGAAGAATGTGAAATACAAGAATTATCCTTGCAGTCAACATAGCCCTTTCCACTTAGGTGACACATGTTCTGAGAAAGATTGCTCACCCCTACATGTACAGCAGGGCTGCCCGACTTGTGGTCCATGGCGGCATCCAACCCCCGAAGAGTTCTTAGACCCCATGCCCACAGACTCCCGATTCAGGCACCACTCCACACTACTCATTCCACTGCTCTCCTGCTGTCCAAGACTCCACTCTCCCTCTTCCTTCTCCAGCTTCCACTGCCTGCTCCTGACACTGATGGCAGGGAGAGAGTACAGTCCACAGGGCTGAGGGAGCCTGCAGCTGGAACATGAGGGGCCTCCAGAGACCCCATGTGGCATGGCATGATACAGCAGGGGGCCCAAATGGCATGGCGTAGGGACAACTGCATGGTGCAGCAGAGCAAGTGGGGGACCCTTGCAGTAGAGATCTTTGCCAGTGGTGAAAAATAACTGATTGCATCAAGCCTTGTCATTTTGATTTTCAGTGTATTCCTCACCTTCAGTTGCTGCTGGAGTTCACTGTTCAACCTGGCTAGCACGGCATTGGCTTCTTTGTTTTTACGAATGGCAGTCTGAATAGCTCTCTTCTGCTTGGAAGACTGTCTGCCAGAGAGATGAATAAAAATTTCAATTAAAAGAACTTCCACAGCATCTGATCCTAGAAGGACAGACACCTCTTTATTTCCATAGGCTTTAATGCTAAAGCTGCCCAAAAAGAAAAAGTACAAACCTTAAACTAGCAAAAGGAAAATATAATATATAAAAAAGAGATGACTGAATCAGGCAGTTTATTCAAAGGTAAAATAGTCTCATTTGTTAATCCAAACAATAAATACATGTTAAGCCATTTCAGTTGTTTTATTTTTACTATTTTTTATTGTATTATTTTAAGAATCAGCATCACAAAACTGTACTTATTGCACTACCTTTGGTAAAATTGTTTTCAAACATTTAACAGGCAAGACTCATTAATGCGTAATGGAAAATATTAAGTAAATTTTATGTAGGACCAAACTTACAGTTTTTTTTAGTATTTTTATTTGTTATTATAATTTAGGATGTCTGTATGGAAATATAGCCTTTGCCTTTACATATATAACTGCTTCTGCTGCTTTTTCTTTACTTGAAAAATTCATCTTTCATTTTGCATATCACTCATTTCCACCACCACTAAATTATGTCTCAAAGAGAAATGGGACTTCAGGTGGATGAATTATGGACATTATTGATCAGCCTGGCTGCTTAAGAAACCAAAGATTTGTTTAAATGTAAATATTGCAAGTAATAATAATAAAGAAAGGGAAATATGTAAAACATTGGGTAGATAAGCAGACTTGTTTCTAAATAGACAATTTTAAAGTTCTACATGAGGTATCATCAGCTCTTTAAATGACACTGGAATCCAAGACATATGCATTATTTAAATAGGCATATAATGGCACACAGTTGAAAAAAGTTCTCTCTCTAAACAGAACTCAGAGCAGTGATCTTTGCAACAAAACCTCTGTCTCAGAATTGGCTGGTCCTTATTATTTTCCACTGAATTGACACTTTTTGCCAGTTTGTTTTACTGCACTTTTCTTCAAACCACTCTTTATATACTATGGTTAAAAAAAAAAAAAAAAAAAATCAGAGATAAAAATGCATATATCTGTGTGTGCTCATTTAAGTATTTTGGGAAAGCTG